GCGCCGACAAATCATTTTGTAATGAATGCATAAATCTCATGATAGACAATTTACATTAGACATCACTTGGCACTTGAGACTTCATGAAATCGCACTAGGGTTCATCCCCAAGTAATGAAATCAAAACTTTGAGCAAGCTTATTGAATTTTTGTGGGGGAAAAGTGAGCCTAAAGGGCATAGACGTGATCTGAATCTGCGACCTCGCAGTCGAAAATTACGTTCTCAACCACTATGTCACAGGTAAGTTTGCTCAAGCTTTGTGAATTTGATCATTATTTTCATAATGTTTTGTATTTGTTGTTTAAATGCTTAGCAAACTATTAGATGGCATTATATAAAATTTGCATTAATAAAGCACTAATGAGCCCCAATTGAGTCTTCTAAGGCTCGACCCCAATAAGCTCATAAATTGGCCAGTCCAAATGGATGATACCGGGGTAACCTAAATCACAAATAAAAACGTAATATTATTGCTCAAATTGAAATCGATTACAACAACGATTCACAATAACTCAGAACAGAAAATGAAAGAAAGGCACTACAAACCCCAATCTTGCAATGGAGAGCAGGGAAGGTGGCAGTTAGTATCTGTGTGAGGAGGGAAAGGTGCTGCTGCAGGTTTGGGAGGATTGAAAAGGGGGCTGCAGTATTTGGACAGCTGTAGGTTTAGAGGATGGCTGCAGGTTTTGGAAGGGCAGGTGGAGGTTTGGGGAATGGGAAAAGGGGATTGCAGGATTTGGACAGCCGTATGTTTGGAGAATGGCTTTATTTTTGAACTTGCGCTGTTGGAAGTGGCGGTGGGGGAAAGTAACGGGCTGCCCTACAGCTGGAGGGGACAGGTGGCCGCACGGTATAGCGGGGAGGGGCAGCGGTGACTGTGTGATGCGGTTGGCCTGACGGGAATGATCAATGGTTGAAGGGATGGCAGGTGTGGTGAGGTCTTAGGATAGCGGACATAAAATGACAAAAACAAGAATAAGAAAGATAAAATCACCATTTCGAGACAAGTTACAGCCAGAGCATCTTCTCGCAATCGGATACAACCCCCGGAGGGGAAGAGGGGATTGGTCAATTTTACCCTAATTCGACAAACACATCTATTTGTAATAGACATATAGGCGAGAAAATAGAAAAGAGGGGGGATTCTTGTCCAATGAACAAAGGAGGAGGGGGTTAGTTCAACCCCTACCACTTGCTGAACCAAGCTGAACTGGTTCAGCCCCCCTAGGCCCCTCGTCAGTCTCCCGTGGTTATGGAAGCTTCGATCTCATTCGTTGAAGTTTTTGACACTTCATGGCACGACATCAAGTCCTTTGGTGGATTGATGATGTCGATGTTGTCATTCCACAATTATGGTAGAATAGATGTCCGCTGTCTTTTAGCACATCCTGAGCGAGAGTTGCATATAGAAGTGAGTTCCACAATGTAACTCTCGAGCTCCTAAGCTTGAAACATTCTCCTCCATTTCTCGTGCCAAGCGGACTGTAATTGATGAACAAGAGTTTGAAAAGAAATCAATTATGGGATGAAATCTATGGCAGACTGTGCCACTCTCACTAGCGACCACCCATGAGAGACATCTTCTGTGACAGAACCTGCATCCTATTAAAGAATTTTCTTCCCCATTAAGCTCCTAGGGAACATTTCAAAGCTGAGGTTCATCCTTTCTGTTTGGACATCTGTTGATGGGTACTCCGCTGAACTGAATCTAACATCTGAAATATTTTTCGTAATATTCCAGACATGACACAAATTGACTCTTCTTTGGACATGCTGAACCTCCCTTCGTAGGGCCAACTCAGGAGGGATCTATAAATCTAAAATATCTGCATTTCCCTTATCTGTGGTGGCCCTGTATTTGATGTCTGTTCTCATAATCCTTGTAGGCATCCAAGTTCGGTCTTACTGATGTTCCTCTTAAAGTTTGCAAAATGCTAGTTTGAGGCACCATATTCTCATTCGCTGCTAGACTGCCATTACCTCAGAGTCACTACCTTCTAGAGACGCTACTGTTATCTCAGCTGAAATCTCTATCTTGGGGCCAATTGGAGTTGTTGGCATCTCTTCCTCGTTGGTCCCAAGTGGAGAATCATCTCTGACATCTTCATCTTCTCCCAGACCAATCGTGTAATTGCCCTGCTCAGTGAAACAAATATCTCGATTGGTTGTGCATTCTGATTCCACATGCCCAAATCCGCTGTACTTGCAACACTTCCTGATTGTGACATATTTAGGGACGAGGCTTGGTCTCACATTTTTTCTACTCTGAATCAGTTTGTCCTATGACGGGGTCATCTTGGCTGTTCCCCTCGGTGCACTCTGGCTGTAAGATCCTGAAGTTGACCTCTACCTATAAGGTGTGGAGGTCGCTCGGTGGTGTTCGGGGGGGGTTTCCGCCTTATGAAAAGAGAGAGGAGGGGGTTCGTTCAACCCTCCCCCACCCCCCAGTCCCTGTGTCAATGGATGACTTTTTTGACTTTTATTGGAAAAATGATTATCAGAGAGTTGTATTTGCTAAAATGAGATTAACTGGACATGCTAGGATATTGTAGGTCAATACCTTAGAAAAAGAATTAGAGGTTAGGAAGGACCGCTCTTATTTGATTGCTAAGAGCTTTAAAGAGTTAATTAGTTCTTGATATTGTGATGAAAATAAATATGGAAAGTTATTAACATTTAGACAAGGTAATCTTTCTGTAATTGAATATTTGAATACTTTTAAAGACCTAATTACTATGATTGATTGTGCTGATAATGATTGACAATTGTGTTGTCAATTTAGTTTAACCATAAGAGTCTATATTTACCCTTTTAAAATTGAGGAACAAAAATTAAAACTAGGAAGAGAGCCTTCATTTGTTCTTTCTTTAATGAATTTTTAAACACCTTTCAGGGTATTAAGGGCTTTGTTTTGGCTAGTAATGAGAAATTGCATCCTTTTGTTATTTTTGGAGCATTAGAGTTTTATTTTTATTGGAGTAAAATGTCGCTGGAATGATAAAAAATTTTAACTCACGACATTGCTATACCCTTGAAATATTTGTTCATAATATTTGCTCTCTTTATGGAACCAAATCATATTTTCAAGAAAATGTTTATGGTTTATTGTATATTCAAGCTGAAGCTCAAGGTTTTGCTACTGTACATACAATTTCTGTAGTTCTAATGATTGACTACTAAGATAAGAAGCTTTATTATTACACACTTCATGCATGATGATATAATTTAAAGCAGTGGAATCCAACTGTGAGAAGAGTCTTTATTATCGGAGCATACTTGCTTGATATGTGATATAAACTTCTAGAAGAGCCCGTTACGAAAACAATTTAATGTTTCTGAAGTAAAGGAAAATCAGGCTGCTTTGGGGGAATTGGTTTCGGTGTCCTGTGAATTCCTTTCTGCAGGATGATGTAAGTTTATTTGATGATATAACAAGTAGATATAATTTTGTTGATTTAATTGGAGAGGTACATTTATTATGATTTATAGATGAGTAACATTATGTCTTTAAGACATATCCATCAAACATTGAAAAATTTAGCAGCGTTTTTAGAAGTAATACTGGTAATGGAGAGGTGCCAAACAAAGTGTAAAACAATGGAAATTAAATGTTGTGTTAGATTAGGGATTATGTGGGATTGTCATATGCTCAGGTTTCCTGAACTTTTTTTCTACAGGATGATTGAGGTTTATTTGATGGTATAAGAAGTAGATATCGTTTTGCCTGTGTTAATTGGAGAAGTGAATTTAGTATTTGTCATAAATGAATAGCATTTTGTAGAAGCTAGATCTATCAATCATCCATAATATTAGCTCTTTTTTTTATATGTAATGCTGGTAGTGGAGAATTGTCAAGTTGAAAATAATAGAAATAAAGTGATAAAAGTTTTTCATTAAACTAAAAATGTAGTATATTCGTATTATATTATGGATGAGGGGATATCATATGCATAGGATAAGGAAACATAAAATTAGATGCGTGGTTTGCACATGTATGGTGACTGGAGTATGATTCAATGGCTTTCTTTGCATTATTGTCCTTTTTTTTACCGTCCCTCTCTAGATATATTTTTTTCATGGTTCTTTGGACATGATATTGTATGCCATTCTTTCCATCACTGTTATGAAGACACATGCTTAGTTTGCTACACTTTGCGGAGCGCATCCCATGAAGACATATGCTCAGTTTCTTTCAAGTCTGAATTTTTTCATGAAGGCACTTCCTCTCGATTGGGATTAATTTTTGTTTTCCCACATGTAAACTTTTTGTTGTGTTTACTAGAGACAAAATTCTTATGTTAGGCCTTTTGAGTTCATTTTGATTGGTTAGTTTCTTCCTGTTGGCCTAGTATGGACTTGATCAGGAAGCTATTCATTGAATCAGCTTATTAAATTCTAAACGCATCCTCATTTATTTTTTTATTGAAGAAGGTTGTGTTTTTTCTTCCATAGATCTTGGTTAATGTCTGCTGTTGTTTTCTTGTTGTCCTTTTATCTTTTGGCTGTTGTGCCATTCCCTGCATCTTGGCTCCATTTTGGCGAACATGCAACCTCATAAATCTAAACTTCAGTGTAATTTAACTTTAGGATGCTTTGCTATATCTTTGGGTCTTTGTTCTTGTGAAAGGCTCTTCCCTGCAACGTTTTCCACTGCTCATTGTACTATTGCTTTAATATAATCTAATTTACTCTGCTATATTTATGTATTCATATCTGATTAATCACTAATCAAGAGAGGGTATGTAATAAATGCCAAGTGACAACGAGCTTGTTTAATAGAGCTAATCCTGGCCACATCACTTGAGCGGATAATTGAAATTCAGCTTAATGGAGCCAAAACCCAGCAGTTTTTTTAAGTTGCAGCTCCTACTTCTACTTACGTTGCAAAGCAATATTTTCCATTTTTATTATTTATTTATTTTGTTCCAGAACCATTTTTGCATATTTAGGGTGGATGCTTATCTGAGATATAATTTATTCAAGGCCTTTGAAATTGCAGAGGATTCAATATGCTAAAACAAAATCAGATATTATAGCAAAAGCTGATGGCACTTTTGTACCTCGAGAGAGGAGGAGGAGACATGATGATAAAGGTCATTCTTGTCAACAGATATATTTTCTCTTCTCTTTAATACCACAACAAAAACACAAATTTTAATTATTTTGTGCAATTTGATGATGCTTTATGCCATTTGGTTTATCTATCTGTGCCGATTTGTTTAGAGGTAAAGCAATACGGCTCAAAGCAGTGCTCTTATTATCATTGATTTTTAGACTGCTAAAAACACAGTGTGGCAGCAGTTTCTCTCATTTGGTATTCAGTAGAAATTTTCTTGTCCATAAATCATAAATGCTAGATTTTTCCATATTTTGAATTTCATCGATGATTACATTTTGCATACTTTAGATGAGGATCCATATAATCACTTGATGCTTCAGAAGAGTAGTATTTTCATGCATATATTTAGCTCATTTCTGGTAGGCTTTTGATGGAGATTTCAAATGGACTTGCACCTAGTATTTGATTGGACTCAAACTGGTTCACTTTACCGTAACCATAATCAACTTATAGGTTCTAAATTCAAGGATAAATGTAATGCATGTCTAAAATTCTGTATTCATTGAGAATACAATACATGTTTATTGGTTTTTAGTTTTTGTTTACCGGTCCATTTCCAGTGCCAAAATATGTCTATGATTTTGGACTCCATACCCAAAAAAAAAAAAAATAGTAAGTGCTTTAAAATTTTCAGATGTTAGGCGTAACTCATTATTTTATGGTTTCAAATCAGCTCACTCAATTTCAATCAGCACAGGTGGAGTTCAGAATCATTACCACATTATGAAGTGCTAGTTTCACAGATTTTTGATATAGTATTTCCTTTTAATTTTATTTATTTATTTTCTATTGTTATTTCTTAGGTGATGTCGAATATTCTTGCTGGTTTGATGGCCGATCACCATTGCTTTTCTTGTTGGTTTATTGTGCCTACCTCAATTAGTTGCCATCTCTACTGCCTTACATTTCTTGCAGTATTCCTGTTCTTACTCTTGCTCTCACTGCTAGATGCTTCTACCACCTTATTGATTGCCATTATCTTTTTATGCCTTTCTTACTAATCCATGTCATAGCCTTATGCCTCTTGTTTTTTTTCCAGTTATAATCCTGCCCTTGAGTTTGGACCCTTAGAATCTAGTATTGGAATTTGTGGAAAATTTAATAATGTGGGATGTCATCAAACTTGTTTATTGAGTAGATTTTTATATATTTTGCATGGTTTCTTATTTTAGGTCTTTTGGAACCTATAAATTGGATCTTTGAGGCAAGTTGGAGATTGAATACAACAACAACAACAACGACAAGATTTTATCCCACTAAGTGGCGTTGACTACTTGAATCCTTTTTCTCTGTTGCTTCCTATTGAGAGTCATATTTTCATTGAATTTTAATAAATCAAGATCTTTTTTTATACAATATGCCCAAGTCTTTTTAGGTCTACCTCTGACATTCTTAACATAAGTCGAATCTAAAACATCTACTCTCCTAACCGGATTATCAGATGGTCGACGTTTAATGTGACCAATATCTAAGACAACTCTCTCTAATATTATATGCCACTGGAGTTACACCAACTCTATCGCGGATAAATTCATTTTGCATTTTGTTTCTAATTGTCAAGCCTCTCATCCACCTAAGCATTCTCATCTTCCGCAACACTTAACTTTGATTCGTTTTACACTTCTCCTTTAATGGCCAATATTCTGCGCCATTGAGCATTGCAGGTTTCACCACTATCTTATAAAATTTTCCTTTTAATCTAAGTGTTACTTTTCTATCACACAATAGCCCCGATGCATTCCTCCACTTCAACCAACCAACTTGAATTCTATTGTTAACATCCCCATCTATATCACCATCATTTTGAACAATGGACCCAAGATACCTAAAACGTTCACACCCTTTAATGATTTGATCACCCATAGTACAACTCTGCCACTAGAGCTACTACTATTAAAATTACATTCCATACATACAATTTTAGTTTTACTCAATTGAAGGCCTTTAGACTCCAATGTAGACCTCATAATTCAGGTTTTTTCTGAACTCTTTCTCTAGTCATATCCACAAGTTGGAGATTGAATATTGAAATAAATTCATTTTTATTCTCTTTTTGTGTGCTTGTTAGAAGTATATTGTTAAAGTTCTTCACAAGTGTGAATGATTATTTCTTGGGAAGATTTCTTGTACATATCTGGATGGTGACCACTCTTGCAGGACATCAGTATGAACACCGTCTCGTTAACTTCCTATGGTTCATTGGATCCATGGCCACAACTCAATCTGGTATTGTAGTTTTGAAACTCTTGGGGTTTGCAACCATAGCCAAAAGGATGTTGGACAACTTATGCTTTTTAAATCACCTGAGCCTAGATTGATATCATCTGGAAAATGCCCTGCCGATTCTGTTGTAGAGCCTATGGTGCGTTGCATGTGGAAAAAAAAATTGTAAACTGTAGGCACAATTGAATCCATGATTTTGTGGGAAAGAAACCATTCTCTTTTCTTATATTTTTGCCAAAGGAGTAGGGTTAGCATTTTATGGTCCAGTTTCTAGTTTCTTTCTGGAAATTGTAGATTTTATTTTAACCTTACTTCGTAAGTCTATTTCTGATATCTGTTCACTTCATTTTATTTAGTTCTACGTAATTCTTGATTAAATAAAATTTTCTAATTGAAGCGCCACTATAGAATGAGAACTGTTGATGTTAGCTGCCATTAGGGCTGTCAAAATTCTCGTTGTTCTCTAGCTGGTCATGTTCGACTTACTAAGTAGCCTGTGTTTGGTTCGTTCATTAAGCAAATTAGCCAAACACGAACAAATTTGTTGAGCTTGATTTATAACCGAGCCGAACACAAATATAGGTTTGTTTTTTGTGTTCTCCTCAAATTAATTAAATAATAAAAAAATAATATTATTGTAGTATTTATGTATTAAATTTATATATTGTATTTTAAAATAAAATATTTAATTTTATTAAAATTTAAATAATTTTTGTTAGGATTATAAATGAAAAATAAAATTTTTATATTGGATATATTAATACATAAGAATGAGATGGTATGTATGAAAATGCTAAAAAAACCTCCTCCCCAAACCTATTGTCAAGTGTAAGAAGGTCCCATCCATGAAAATAAAAAAAATATATATATATAAATATTTAACATGTCAATGCATAGGAACCAGTGATATGTAACTGTACATGTTTTCTTTTCCTTAGTTGAAAACTCCGTTGAATTTATTTAGTCCTACATCACAAACTTTAAAAAATTTATTTCACCAAGCCTCTATAAATAGTGAATCTCTCCCTATCAAATTTACTTTTACTCCTTAGCTTGACTCTTACTACTCGAGCTACGGCAATTTTAAAATAAAAATTAAATTTTATAATTAAATTATATTATATGATTTATTAAATTTTAATAAAATTTTATTTTGAGTCGAGCCGAACACGAGCTTAATTCGAACAAAAAGATTTAAATCAAGCTGAACACGAACATGCCATTTTGAACACGAGCTGAACACAGATAAAATAAATTCAAACGAGTTGAACACGAACAAGCTGTAGGCTCGCTCATGTTCGGCTCGTTTATACCCCTAGCTGCTATTGTGGCTGAGTCGGGGCAGATATAAAATGGACTGTTGTTAAAATATGAATTTTTGACTAGGCTTGACTAGGCTAGTTCTGCATTCTGTAGCGAGAAATTATTGGTTGCTGATTGCTAAATTTAAGTGATATTGCATGTGAATGAAGCATGATGATGATCTATAAATAGTTAGTACCATTCAGCAGACTATCTAGATTTTGAATTCCGATTTTTGTTGGACACTAATCTTGATCGTTTAAATTGCATGCAACAGTTTAGAAATGATGCTAGTAAGGGTTTTTTTGGTAATCTGTATTATCAACTGTCATGTAGAGTTGCAATTTATGTCCTTTGTTTTTTCCCTCAAACTTTATACCCAGCAATTTTTTTTCTAAAATAGCATTTATTTGTTATGTATCCACTACTCAAAAAGAACCTAATATTCTTGTAGCTAATTCGTTCATGCAGCTGAAAAAAAACGTAGGGAGCGAAATCGTGATGCTAATCAAGCTGGGTTGAACTCTGCTTATGTTGGAGCTTATGGTACTTTGCCGTCGGTGAGGAATCTCTCATTTTTTTACTTGATTTTTTTTTCTGCTAATGTTAATCGGGCTTTAAAAATACTCGATGCAGTAATACGGAAATGTTTGAACGTTAAGGGTTCTTTTAAAATCAGATATGTGTTTAGATTTGAATAACTGTGCATGTGCAAATTGACACGCGATCATTGCAATCTCTGTTAAAATCATATAAGATACTGGGTTGCATGCATATTGTTGAGCAATCGCTTTGATTCTCTTACTGAAAATATTATTCATTCCTTTGGCTTGAGTTGCGATGAAGAATCTCCAGGTTGCTGGCGATGGTTTGCTTAATTATTCACCTACACAGTTGTGCTGGCAGTTATTCTTATTCCAGCCTACCTATTTATGAATAATTCTGCACGTTTAAATTCAGATATTTAAATAAGATAACTTGATTCATATATTTATGCATAATTTGTTTACAAACCCAGATTTATGGCCGTCAATTTGGATTGATTTAAGAGGTCTGCATGATGATATTAATTGAGAATAACACTATTCCTTGTAATTATTTTCTTTCTTAGAACGACACTTCTCTAATATCATTACTATTGGATCGTAATATGTCCATGGGCGACATCCAAATCTTACTGATGTAGAGGAAATATGAAAGCAGAAAAAGATATAACAGATGAAGCAAATCCACTAATATTATGTGGCCCACGATGCTAAAACTGTAGAGAAAAGTGGGAGGGATGCAGAGTTATAAAAAGATCAAATTCTTGGCTCTCCTCATGATCCATCATTTATAGGTTAGGACATGGAGTCTCAAGCGCTATAAGAAATGTTTCATAATAAACAACATACATGTAAATAAAATTAAGTAGATACAAGACTTTGATTGCCTTGATGCAAGTGTGAACTAGGCAGCTGACTTGTTGAAGAGTTCAAAGGATATATTGATAGATTAGGATACATCTGTGACAATAGTCGGTCTGTTTGGCTAATGAATGCCGGTTTGGGTGAAGAAAAACTCGTCCTGGAGCCATAGTGGATGCTTCCTTTTATAGAGTGTTTAAGATCACTTGGGTTTTGGCAGTTCGACGCCTTGAACCTTGTTTGGTGAACCTATCTTTGGGCTCAAGTGACAATATGTCTCCAATGAACTCGACGGCTGAGTGCATACTAAATCCATTTGGGAGAGCTAATGCTGAGTTCGACTTGATATGCTCACCTCGTTTATCGCCTACTTAGCCAGGTTTACCTTTGAATTCGTAACTTATTCATCATCGTGTTCTCATAGTAGACTAGTTATTGTTTTTTCTTTGGTGAATTAAGACGGAGCTAATTTCTTCTTCTTCAATTCTCAAATCGAGTAGTAAATCTTTGTCAGATTGCAAGCTTTGGAGTAATGGGTGCAAGGTTAGTAGCGGCTTCAGATTTTTAATTTATTTTTCACTCTATTTGTACCTCTTTGCTCTTTTTAAATATTTTTAAAAAAATAAGCACTTCTTGCCCTATTTGTAGATTAACGAGCTTTACTCCATGATTCAACGACTTAGCTTTTGTAGCTTTTTTATGTATATAGTTGATGGTATCTTCTTTGGATTTCTTATTTTATTCGAGTTCATCTTAATTCTCTCAGGAGTTAGCAAAAAATTTGCTTGAACTAAACCAAAGGAGCATTTATGCAGATATAACCTGATATTAAAACTTCTGAGTGGTAAATGTCCATTATTCTTTGATAAGTGGCTCATACAACTTTTCAATTCAAATGACATGACATTGTAACAATACATAGTCTCTCATGATGAAAGCCATATTTCCATCATCATTGGAATGCATCTTGATTTGATGATAACCTGAGAACGCATGCAAGAAACTTATGACAGTGTAGTTGACTAAAGCGTCAATGCGTGGTAGTTGATAGTTGTCATTGGGATAAATCAAATTCAAGTTAGTGAATTGGACACATATCCATCATTTTTTGATTGACTTGGGCACCATCACAGCATTAGATTTAACCCAGTTCAGATGCTGCACCTTCCTTATGAAGCCTACGTTGAGTGGGTTCTGCACTTCTTTGCAAATTGGGTCTCCAAGGTTTTGGTCACCTTATTCTCTATTTGATTGTCCTTCTTATGTATGATAAGCTAGTGGTAGACAATTTCAACATCCAGCTCTGGCATTTCACTAGCAGATTAAGCAAATACATCTGCATGCTCCCTCAGCGTTGCGACTAACTCATCTTTGCATTTGACTTTAATGGATGGGTTGATGCGGAAAGTGTGACTTGGATCTCCCTAGCTGAAACTTACTCAATTACTTTCAGATTCTCTGAGCTTGTTCCTCTTTGGACATCTAAGCTTGTAAGTTCTTATGCTTTGCTTGTAGCTTTGAGATAGCATGACTTGGATTGATGCTATCCCCCTTTAATAATGATTCCTTCCCTTCAGCTTTGAATTTGATGGCTGCATGATATGTCAGGACGTCCTAGCAAAAAGTGTCGAGGGGCCTACCAAGTATTGGATTTGCAATTCGCCAAAGCATTGATTATAACAAAATCAATCATAACGGTATACTGCAAATCTCTTTCTCCCAAGTAATTGGTAAAATAATTAGTCCTTCCGTGCCTTACTTTCTCCAAAAAATCCAATCAAGGGGAACCTTAATCTTCTCTAATACACTCTTGAAAATTATGTTGATCAAACTCCCAATGTCGATTAATATACTCGATCCAGTAGTTTGTGATTAAAGCGTAACTACAATCATATCATTGAATGCATTAACTCAATGGCTTGCTCACTTTGAGGAATGTGATTGGAGTTACTCCTCTAGTAAGCTTTTTTTTTTTTGATGTTGAGTTTACCCCTCCCAATCCAAGTCGCTTGAGGTTTGCTTGGCGTGCAACTTCTTTTGGTTCACCTAAGATGGCTAGTACGACTCCTTCAATGTGAATCATGTGAGCTGGGATGGCTCGTTCTTTGGGGGATTGGCTCCTTGCTTGGTCTTTGACCATGATCAACCAAAATGAACTACTTCAGCTATTTCTCTGAATTAACTCTTCTGCTAAGTTTCTAAAATGCCAATGGTTATTGGTATCATGACCATGGCCTCTGTGAAAGGTGCCGAACTTGGTTATATCCCTCTGTGTAAGACAACCTTCATGGACTTGGGTAGCTAGAAGCACCCTTTAATTTGTATGACCTCAACTAACTTGGCAAACCTCAACTAACTTGGCAATTTATGCATGAGCGTGGTGAAAATGGAGAAATAATGGGCAGGTGGTGGTGGGCGCACTCAAAATTCCTTTGCTTGTCTTTCCTTTGTTTGAATTCCCTTTTGGGCTAAAGGTCGACTCACGGGGGTTGGTAGGGCTTGCAAGCAGGATGGTGGCGAAGTATCTCTAATTTTGGATATTTGAGACAAAAATTCTCCCTTTGAGTCGATTTCTACCTTTTCACTTGATTGCACAGTATGGGGTGTTCGATGGAGGTCCCCACTATGCTATTATATTCCTTTGCATTAACATACTCATTTACAAGTTACAATTAATAGACCAAGGAGCTTGGCCTTTGCTGATCGTGTGATTAGCTAAAAGGGGTCAAGTTGGCTTTAGCCAATGTTGGTTTCAAGTCATCGATGCCCAATTTCTCCCTTCAGAATCTGGTAATGAAATTTCTCAAGGACTCACAAGGCTCCTGATGTGTCGTTAGTAATAATTGTGAGCTCTTTTATAGCCTTTGTGCGCTGGCAAACTAGGTGATAAATAATCTCTTGAAATTTGAAAAGTTGTAATCATTCAAAGGGGTAGATGGGAAAACCACATACATACTAACTCTCTGATTGTCATAAAGAAAAGTTGGCACTTGGACATGTCATAAAAAAAAGGCCGCCGACTCAAAATAGGTCACATGGCCAGCTCAATTGGTCAGATCTCGATATGATTCAAGATTGGAAAATTTAAATTTAAGAGGAGTCTGTTTTTAACAATTCTTTGAGAAAAGACATTCATTAATTGTGATATTCTTTTGATTCGCCTCTCAGGTCACTTGGCTCAGGGGACGATTCTTCTGAGTCTCAGGATAGTAAGTCTCATATAGTAATTATAGGGTCCTTGCCTTGATAATAAATTAAAGGATGGTTTAGGAACCAAATGATCAAGATAAGAACTATTGAGCTATTGTCGTTGATAGTTCAAATGGCAGTTACTTTTGATGCTAACTCTTCAACAATTCTAACAATATATTTCTTTAAACATTGGAATGAAGAGTTTAAAATACGATGGCATTCTTTGTCATGTGATCAGAGACCCTAGGGTTCAAAATTTAAGATTATATTTATTTCTAGTGCTGAAGGTCTTGGTATGAATTGTATACTTCGTGAATTGGAAAATATTTTTTGATGCTAGTGTTGCCATGTGATATTGATTCATGGCGGCACAAGAGGAGGATAATCTGTTGCCATTTCATGTTTAACCCTTCTTATGGTTTATCAAAAACATTAGTGGATTTACGCATAAGAATTAGAAATCTTAGTGGTAGTAAAAGATAGAGAAAAATGTTGCTGTTACAGGATTGCAAAACGTTGGAGAAGATTATTTCATTTCATCTGGTTGAAAAACGTACTAGCAGATATGGTCAGCTAACATAGAAAGACAACAAGGTTACTCAATAAGATTACAACTAGCATCATAAAGAAGGGAAGAAATAAGGATGAAATCAGTCTCATCAATTTACAGTTAGTATTACGTGAATGTAGAAATTGAATCCAATCCCCATTAGGTAGTAAGAGCTGGTGCAACAACTAGGGGCATGATAGCATGGAGAGGAATGGCAGTCGACAGCTTGTTAGAGGCGAACAGGTTGACCGGATGCTTGGTATACTGGAGTCACTTTTTAGAAAATTCACTTTCCTCTGCTTCTCCATATTGCACATCTGACTCATGTGTCCTCGACTGAGTAAACCTATAGTCATATATAGTGTGTCAGTAATGTGAAGACCCGGTCCACCGCAATTTAATTAGATTCCTA